ACAAAATACAAATATAAATAGAATATAAATATTTACGTTGTTCCACCCAAAATAAGGTTATGAGTTATAATATAAGACAGGAAAATGCAACACTTCAATTGTAAATATATAGAATTGTAGTAATGTGGCAGAATTGTAAAATACCAAAAAAATCCTTAATACCGTTTCTTCTTTGCAAGGATCCATACTACCAAACAGATCACTCTTATATGATATAGTATTTATGGCAACGCTTTTAGATTAGTGTTGGATAACTTTGTTAGTTCTTTATTTTTTTGTAAACATGAAACAAAAAGTATAAAAACTTTGAAATCTTCATTAATTCAGAGAGGTCATCTATTAATTACAACTTTGAAAATTTTCTTTTTGATGCCTTTTAATTTAAAATTTTACAACTAACCCCGTTAAGTATTTATTTATTTTTAAGTTTTTCATGATCACTGGATGAACAATGACTTGGTTGTATTCTAAGATCTCATGGAGAGAACCAACCTTTGTGAGTGTTATATGCAACAGAGTATGTATTAGTAGTGGAGTGAACCTCTGTTTGTTTTGACGGAAAATATTTTACTGGAAGTCATAATCAACAAAAAAACAAGCTTACTTTGATTGAAGATGTTTTCTACTATTGAAAGATGAAAAATATTTTTTGGATTAAAGTCTTGCCAATGCCACCACCACACTACCACCAATATATTAGTTTCAAGTCACAATTAAATATAAAAAAAAATTACTCTCTGCTAAAACAAACTGTGAATACAATGAGAATACTAGAGAATGGAGAGACCATTGCTAGGTCTCCATCATGTCAATATATATGTATATTCTTCATACTTCTCTAATTGAATTCTGTGCATATGAACATGTTGTAACAAGAAACTTATTAAGCTTTCAAATTGTACATGGTATCAAATCTAACTAAAAGAACTTGAACTTCTAAAAGAGGAACAGGTTTATAAAACTTAACCCAGTAGATGAAAAGAAATGTTGTAGTCTTTCACAACAATATAGATTTTTATTTATTTTTAAACAGGTTTTGGGGCATATAATTTGCATCAATACAGTGTGTTTCTATCGAGCATTTAACAGACTAATGGTCACTTCATTGGCTGAAGAACCAGCAGCCTCAAGAACATTCCTTTCAGTGAAGAAGCCAGGTTGTTTGGCCTGAGGCAATGCACCTTCATTACCCAACATCAGAACCACAGATGACATGCTTGGCCTATCCTCTGGATATTGTTGCACACATAAAAGACCCACGTGGATTGATCGCAAAACTTCAGTTAGGTAACAAGAGTCCCATATAGCCTCATCAATCAATTCCAATGATCTACCATCTTTGTAGAGTCTCCATGCCTGAATAGATTCTTACACAATCCAACAATTGTGAATGTTTTGGAATAGCGAGAAAAGAGGGATTTAAGACAGAATCATATAAGAATACTTCTAAACTCAGTACACTTACATGACCAAGGAGGTTGAGGTGGTGATCTGGATGATAAAAACCTTTATTTTTCTTCCCACTTACAATCTCTAGCACCAAAACGCCAAAGCTGAATACATCTGATTTTATTGAAAACAATCCATCCACTGCATACTCTGGAGACATGTAGCCACTGCAAAAAAATGTTGAATGAAGAACTAGATTTTGAAGCAATAGACAAAACATGTCGTATTGATTCTTACTATGTTCCGACCACTTTGTTTGTATTTGCTTCTGTCTCATTTCCTCGAAAACTTCTAGCCATTCCAAAGTCTGATATTTTTGGGTTCATGTCAACATCTAGCAAAATATTGCTAGCTTTGAGATCTCTGTGAATAATTCTCAGTCTGGAATCTTGATGAAGATAAAGAAGCCCTCGTGCAATCCCATTAATAATGTGGAACCTCTTTGGCCAATCCAGTAATCCGCTTTGGGTTTGATCTGTCCAAATGTTTGTTTGTTAAATGCTCCCAAATTTTGGAAGATCAAGTTCATGCAAATGCACAAGTAATAAAAACCACATACAATTTTGGTCCCATTATGAATAAATCCAATGGTTTATATGGAACCAAACAAAATAAAAATAAAAATAAAAAGAGGAAAAAATAAAGAAAGATCATTGCCTGGCTTGAGAATGGAATGGTTGTGATTATACACAAGTTAGGGTAAGTTATACTAACCTACCTTTAGATTTGAAGAAAATACATCGATTTTCACAAGTTTGACATAATTACCTTGGGCTCCTTTATGGTTTTAATTCATAAAATATTTTGCCCATTTTCATAAAAAAAAAAAATTCATTATTCATATCGATAAAAAAATGGTAGTAATCTCTTTTACACTGAAAGGTATATTTTGCCTTGTTTATCCCTACTACACACCATCTATATTAATTTTGATCTTTTTAGCTTTACTAAGAGGGAGATCAATGTAATTACGTCAATCTTGTAAAGCTTAATGTATTTTTTCTAAACCCAAGGGTAGTGAATGTAGTTTACCCTATATAGTATTATAGTTTCTAGAGAGCCCAACCAAAAATGAAGTAGTCCAGGCTTTTGTTGGGCATGTATTCGTAGATCAACATCTTTTCTTCTCCTTGAATGCAGCATCCTAGAAGTTTCACAAGATTTCGGTGTTGAAGTTTGGCAATACAAATAACTTCATTCTTAAACTCATCAAGCCCTTGGCTAGAATTCTTTGAGAGCCGCTTCACGGCTGTTTCTTGTCCCCCTTCTAGCATACCCTGAGAATTACCATTGTAGAATGTTCTTATGTTCGAAATTAAAAGAAAACAATTTTTACCAGTGATTTATGTTACAACATTACCAAATACATACTTAAAGACATAATTACACCAAGGTTGTCTAACAAGGTCAGGGCAGTGCATGTCCTACTTTGGGTGGGTGAGTCTGGATAGGTGGATGGATGGAATTTCCAGATTTAGAACTTCTGTTCAAGATTTAGAAAATATTGCCTTTTTCCCATCATTCCTAAGCAAAAATCCAGTCTCAATCATTTTTCATTAGAGCAAATTCAAAGATAAACTTCTCAAAAGCAAGTGTATTTGTCAAAATTTTTAATTCATGTTGGTGGGTTCTGCATTAAAATATTTTAGGGAAATATTAGTATAGGAATATGAAAAAATTTCAGAAAGATGCGGTCCCATACTTCACCAAAATGAAAGCAGTGTACACTTTACTGTGAAAATTTTTTGTGTTAGAAACGTACTGTTTATGGAAAGAAGTAACAAAAAAAAGTTGAATGGTTTTATTGTTTCCACATAGGCTGGATGAGATTAGGTGTTGATCACATTTGTATAGATTACATAAGAGTCTTTACATTGGTACCTTGTAAACAGGCCCGAATCCACCCTCTCCAAGCTTATTGTTGATTGAAAAGTTATTTGTGGAATTAGCTATTACTGTCAAGTCAAACAATGGTAACTCCAGATCATCATTCTGGCTTTTGTCAGTGTAACCTTGTTTAGAGTTTTGCATCAGATTTCCTGCAAAGCGGGGGCAAAATGGATATAAAGGATGAGACAACTAGTTCCACCAAAGTAATTTTATACCATTACAGAGTTTACCACAGAATGACACATATATACCTTCTCTGTTCAGCTGTGAATTCTTCCTTTTCTTTTTCCAGAGATAACAGGTTAAGCTCACACCCAGCAGAAGAAGTCCAATTAATAATGCCAAGCTCACTGCCACTATCTCTCTTTTCTTTCCATTGAAGCCAACTTGTTGGACTGTTGAATTTTTAATCCATTTAATAGAATGGTCAATTCAGTTAGACAATACAACAATGAATGCACAAACTTAAAGGGGTTGCTCACCATCCTATTTATTGAAACCATTATGGTTAAGGCGATGAGAAAAAGCTAAAACATAACAAACACATAATCATACAAGGATTTACATAACATGAAAAGAAATCAATGTCCGCGATAAAGCAAAAATGAAGTCTCATTTTGCAAAGCTATAGCAAGATGTAGAATTCTAAACATAGTGAGGATTGTTTTCAGAAAAAAATGTAATTGTTCAGTATAATTAACTATATGGATATTACATATGTACAATCTAATTAATCCAAGTTCACTAATCTGTGTTTGATATGAATTCTTACCTAATTCAGAGGAAGCCATCCTTATGTAAATGTCTTGCCCTTTATCACTGTACTGTCTCATATCAATCAACTCATCAAACCAAAGCAAGCAGCCACTTCCACCTTCGCTTATGTCTAAACTTGTGTAAGCCATGCATGAGCAGTTTTTCAAGCACCGCATCTCACATTCCCCTAAGGTCATGCTCTTGTCAAACCAGGAGTACCGTGTGTCCGGCATTTTATAGTGCGAATACTTGAGAAAGCCATCTCCATTATGGCAATCTAACATTGTCCTCCGAACACACCCATTAGACCAATCTCCACTTATCCATTCTGTTTGGTTCTGGGGCACAAATTTACTCAAACAATCACATACCGGCGAGTTTCCAATGTTACAGTTACCATTCGGGCCACACAGTTTATAGGTATCACAAGCATCTGTTGGTGCAGACCGGTAAATGACCCATTCCTGGGTTCGATCAACCCATATCACTACAAGAATTAACACTTTTGGCAACAAAAAAATTGGTCGCTAAAAGTCTATTTTTGGTCGGCAAAAGTTATCCGCGACCAAATTTTTTGGTCGCTATTTTGGTCACCAATTGAGGGTCGGCAAAAGTAATTCGCTACCAAAATTGGTGTTGGTCGGCAAAAGTTGGATTTGCCAACTAAATTTTTGGTCGCTAAATATTTAATTACCGCGACTAATTCATTTTGTCGCTAAAACACTTTGGTCGCGAAAAGTGACATTTTCCCGACCAAATATCTTAGTCGCCAATTAACACATTTCGCAACCAAAAAAATTTGGTCGGCAATTATCACATTCAACGACCAAAAAGTTTGGTCACCAATTGTGACATTCCACGACCAAAAAATTTGGTTGCCATTTGTTACTTTTCGCGACCAAAACTTTTGGTCGGCAAAAGTGAGTTTCCACGACCAAGAGCTATTTTGGTCGGCAATAGATGTATTTTTTGCGACCAAAACTCTTGGTCGGCAATTGTCATTTTTTGCAAAAAAAAAAATTATCACATTTCTGTTCCAAAACCGTGATTTCGTGGTCAAGAGAAAAAACCGAATCATTATCACATTTCTTGTCAAGATAGAATCACAATTCCAACTATGATGGAACCACTCTAAAGGAACCAACCATCAAAACATGATTCTTTGGACAAAAGACACAGAAATCGAAAGAACAATTGGCCATGATGATCAAAAGCAACCTCATATGGGAATGAATGTTAAGAAACAACTTAATATATTCATTATGTTTCTTAAACCAATAAAGTCAAAATAGGCAACTATAGGAATGTGTGTGATCTCAGATAAAGAATGTCCGACGCAGCGTAGCCAACCGAAATTCAATAAATGGACTTAGTGGAGAGTTGTTACCTGGAAGGAAGGCAGCAACCTGACGCCGTTGTGCCCAAGAAAAGCTGCATAGATCATTGAGACTAAGTATATTCCAATCTAAAATAATAATTCCATACAAAAGTAGTAATCAGGCACCTTGTAATCTTTAAGAAAAATTTCTTTGGGCATGTCCATTTTGGATTCTTCAACTTGCTTTGGTAAGTGTTCTGTTGCAACTAAATAAATTAACCTCTTGCTGAATTGCTTGGCCTGCTAACATAATGAATAAAAGTGAGCATGAAAATTGACATAATGTGAATTTATGAGAGGAGTGATAAATTCAACAATAACAACTCACGGGTAATGAAGGACAAGGAAACCGATAATTTTTCCGATGTGCAACCTAACACATCTCCCCTACCATCCCAAAATCGGCCACCCATCACCACCACTCCTCATTCGCCACACCCACCACACTCCAAGGCCACCCCCCTTTAACATAAAATGCGTATTGGCTATACGTATTGATTTGCATTTAAACATACTGAATCATTACATACGTATAATGAAGCGTACGATACTAAAATATTACATAACATAACAACAAACAATAAGATGGTAAACAAGAAAGGAGAAGCAAGTAACTACAATGCAGACCTTGATATTATAATCATCCCTTTCAGCCACCTGCTGCAACAAATGTTGGTTCTGTGTCTGCATATCTTCATATGCTTGACTAATAGTCTGCAAATAAAGAAAATGAGTGTAAGAAAGAAAAACAAAATGGCGAGAAGAAATAAAGGCAGGATCAATGCACAAAAAACATCACCACAGTGAACAAGAAAAATTACATGGTTATCTGAGGACTTAAACATAATCATCAGACCTCAATTTCAGAAATATAAGCCTCCGATTCACCATCTTTAATTTTAACAGCCTCCTTCAGCTCTAAAACATCCCTGCAGATGAAGTGACAGCAAACACTGTCACAAACTTAATAGAAAATTTATCTAGTGAATTTCTATAGGAAAAGGGGAAAGGGATGGGAAAAAAAAAAAATTGATCCAGTGGTAAAAGGGGAGCATTTTTAATTCACCATGTTAACAATATGGTGGCATTTTTATCACTATATAAAGTTACTCTGTTATCACTATGATGCTACTGGACGTTACTATATTAATTACAAATTCTGAATACCATATGAAACATCTAGGGACTGGAAGGCAAAGCTGGTTATAAGCAATTACTTCTCTTTTTCAGAGTAGAATTCTAATTTCTAACAATTAAAATAAGAATATCGAAGTTATTGTTTACATGAAACTACTTCCAGGAGAATTTGAAAATTAATATAGTAACATCCAGTAGCATCATAAAGATTATTAAAAAAGAAAAAGAAAACGATGAGCATTAATATGATACCACCAGAAAAATGGTCAACCCACTGCATGAACTCCTACTATAGCAGGGCCTGGGAAGGTCAGATGTACCCAGCTTTACCACCACGTATGGATAGGTAATTTTCGTGTTTTGAACCTGGGACACCCAGGTCACAACAGAGCAGCCTTACCATTGTGCTAAGGCCAAAATTAGCATGCTATATTTGCCTACCACATGTTTGAATAAATCCTCATGAAGGTGATGCAACATCAAGATGTCATGAGAGTGAGGGAAGTACCAATGTTTACGTTGATAATTACTGGCTTGCTCGTGGCAAAGGAGTTTAGTTTTGAAATCCTTGCAATCAATTTCACCTGAGACCAAAGTGTCGACCTTTTCACATTCCATCCTGTACATTCGTGCAGGTTTGAAAACAGAATAATGTGATTCACGTGAGCCATACAGAATGCCATCTGGAAACACTTCCCTCCTGCAGAATCAGTACAATCTTCTTAAACTTTGACAAGATACACGATAGGTCAAAACATCATAAAAATAAAAGGTCACAAAAATGAAGCATGTTGATACTAACCCAACTAATATACCATGAAGCTTGCCTTCTGTTCCACAATTTGTAATGTAACCCCAATATTTGTTCTTCTCAAGTTCCCATAGGCGGGTAAACCAATCCAATACACCCACTTCAAACTGCCCGGAATGGACTATATAGTTGCTCTCTATAAATGGATCACCAAGATTGTTAATAGAGAAATGTTATAACTATCACTGCTGGAAAATCTAAAGTACTAAAAACGTCACTAATTCTTTTCGTGACGTTTAATACCAAACGTCGATGACGCGGCCGTCGCTATAACTTTATGACGTTTGAAAAACGCAACAATAACAACTCACGGGTAATGAAGGACAAGGAAACCGATAATTTTTCCGATGTGCAACCTAACACATCTCCCCTACCATCCCAAAATCGGCCACCCATCACCACCACTCCCCATTCGCCACACCCACCACACTCCAAGGCCACCCCCCTTTAACATAAAATGCGTATTGGCTATACGTATTGATTTGCATTTAAACATATTGAATCATTACATACGTATAATGAAGCGTACGATACTAAAATATTACATAACATAACAACAAACAATAAGATGGTAAACAAGAAAGGAGAAGCAAGTAACTACAATACAGACCTTGATATTATAATCATCCCTTTCAGCCACCTGCTGCAACAAATGTTGGTTCTGTGTCTGCATATCTTCATATGCTTGACCATTAGTCTGTAAATAAAATAAATGTGTAAGAAAGAAAAACAGAATGGTGAGAAGAAATAAAGGCAGGATCAAGGCACAAAAAACATCACCACAGTGAACAAGAAAAATTACATGGTTATCTGAGGACTTAAACATAATCATCAGACCTCAATTTCAGAAATATAAGCCTCCGATTCACCATCTTTAATTTTAACAGCCTCCTTCAGCTCTAAAACATCCCTGCAGATGAAGTGACAACAAACACTGTCACAAACTTAATAGAAAATTTATCTAGTGAGTTTCTATAGGAAAAGGGGAAAGGGATGGGAAAAAAAAAATTGATCCAGTGGTAAAAGGGGAGCATTTTTAATTCACCATGTTAACAATATGGTGGCATTTTTATCACTATATAAAGTTACTCTGTTATTACTATGATGCTACTGGATGTTACTATATTAATTACAAATTCTGAATACCATATGAAACATCTAGGGACTGGAAGGCAAAGCTGGTTATAAGCAATTACTTCTCTTTTTCAGAGTAGAATTCTAATTTCTAACAATTAAAATAAGAATATCGAAGTTATTGTTTACATGAAACTACTTCCAGGAGAATTTGAAAATTAATATAGTAACATCCAGTAGCATCATAAAGATTATTAAAAAAGAAAAAGAAAACGATGAGCATTAATATGATACCACCACAAAAATGGTCAACCCAATGCATGAACTCCTACTATAGCAGGGCCTGGGAAGGTCAGATGTACCCAGCTTTACCACCACGTATGGATAGGTAATTTTCGTGTTTTGAACCTGGGACACCCAGGTCACAACAGAGCAGCCTTAATGGTCTTTTCCTCTTCTCTCTTTTATTATTCTACTTCTCTCTCCGTGTTTCGTGTAGGGTTTGAAGGAAACGGTTCTCATTGAAGAGTTGTTGGGAGGGTTTAAGAGTGTTGGGGTAGCGCAGTGATTGGAGTAGGAGGCGGTCGAAGTTAAGAATGGGAGAAGGAGAAGAAGGGCATTGGAGGGAGTGGCGGAAGAGGGATTTCGGCGGAAGACGGTAGTGGAAATTGAAAGGGCAGGGGCAGAGGGCGGTGGCGGTGGTGGGGAGGAGAGTGGAGATGGAGTGGAGGGTGGTTTCAGAGAGGTGGATGAGGTGTTTTGAGTGTTCAGAGAACGGTTGGGAGATCGGGAGGCTGTGGTAGAGATGGAGGTGGCAGTGGTAAAGTGATTGAGTTGGTGGTGGTGGTGGTAGAAGCGGAATGGTGGTGGAGATGAGAATATAAGAAGTTAGGGTTAGGGTTAGGGTTAGGAAGTGAAGGAAGAAAGGTGAGGTATGGTAATGGAGATGGAGGATTCATCATTTCTTCTTTTCTTCGTCGCCCTCCTCACTGCCCAGAAAATGCTTTGAGTTTTTGTTTATTTACTTTATTTTTAAGATTGATGTTGAGGTTGAAAAGTAGAGACTTTTGATTTATTTTTTTTTTTAATTTTTTAGGTATAGTTGGATAACATTACGTTTACAGCTTATATTTATAAAAATTTAAAAAACTCAAATAAAAATTTATTTGATAAATTTTTTATTTATAAATCAGTTGTCTCAGTTTTAAATTTTGGCCAAAAAATATAAACTCAAAAAATGTGTTTCCGTTTTGAATTTTCAGGTTTTTTTTTACTATCCAACACTAGCCACCATTTATTTTTTTCTGTTTTGCAGGTACAAAACGACGTCGTTTTTTGATTGGCGACCAAATTTTTTTGGTCGCCAAAAAATTTCATTTCCCCCCTCCTGATTGTTCAAATTTCCCTCCCAAACTTTTGGCGACCAAAAGACCAAATTAGTCGCAGAAAAAGTACCTTCGCCGACAAACTTTTTTAGTCGCCAAATCTCAATCAACGGCGACTAAAATATTGGTCGCTAAAAATACAAATTTGGCGACTAATTTTTTTTGGTTGCTGAAAATAAATTTTTGGCGACCAAAAATTTGGTCGCCAAAAAATATGTGACCTTCCGCGACCAAATTTGTAGTTAGTCGGGAAAAGTATACCACTTTCTGCGACCAACTCATTTTTTGGTCGCCAAAATATAACCTTCTGCGACCAATAATATTTGGTCGCCAAAAACAATGATCATTCGCGACTAATTAATATTTGGTCGCCAAATGTCATTTTTTTGCGACTAAAATTTTTTTGGTCGGCAAAAGTGGTCGCCAAATGTGTAAATTCTTGTAGTGTATCCAGCGCTGTGCAGCGCCATTCTGATTCAGAGTAAGCCTTGAAACAACTGAGCTGACGAGTTGATAATGAAAATACACCTCCTCCTTGGTGTAAACCAATTCATATGTGTAGACGGAATTTAGTTTAAGGTTTAGATAACTGAATCCGAGACCATTCCATGGTCCAGTTCGGAACACCTCAACAGAACCACAGTTCATAATAATTTGTGGGTATCCTTGAGGATCACACCGGTATGTACACTTACCTCGAGCTGGATCATCGCTGCTCTTCCAGGACGAGAGCATGCGATCTATTCCCGTTACAAAGTTCTTTCCCTGCTTCATGCCTGGTAAAAGAGTATCGCATGGATAATCAAAACTTTGCCACAAAATATTATTATTGGCATCTTTCACCACAAGATTTCCTGACTCCATAAGTTGTGCAACTGGTCCTGTAACATTGGGAGACCAAATGACACTGCTGGTACCATCGACAAGGGCAAGAATTCCAGGGTCGATTGTCGTTAAGACGCCTGACGAATTGACGAGTGGGATTTCTCTGTTGGCAACCCACACAACAGTCTGGACAGATATTTTCTTGTACCATATTCCCAAGTATATATTCCGGGAATTGCCCGGGCTGAAAAAACCCATCTCAAAGCTTCCACCAGAGGAAACACTGGTATTGTTGCCGGTAACAGATTGGGTTTTGGTTATGATGTCTACTGCGTTGGAGATTATTAAGATGGAAAATAAAGAGGAAAATAAGAAAGGTATTTTGAGGCCTTCCATTGATGGTGTAATGTCTAATTCATGAAATTCATCTGTTTTTATAAATGAATGCTTAACAACTCTTACAGCACAATTATCTCTTCAGCTGGGCTTTTGTATGGATACTGACTTTCTACCCTTCAGTTAGACTTCGGGAGTCAACAAGTCTTGGAATTCCACAGCCATATAATTCTTATCTGAATCATATTCGCATGAATCGCATCTTAATCATGGCATCATATTGAAAATTTGGATTTTCACGTACCATAATTACTGCACTCTAAGGCCCCGTTTATTTTGGGTCACTACAACAATTTACACTTTTGGCGATCAAATTTGGCGACTAAACTTTTTTTAGTCGCCAAAAGTTGTAGAATAGGCTACTAAAATTATATTGGTCGCCGTTGAATTCGATTTTTAGCTACTAATTTTTTTAGTAGCTGTATCTTCATTATTAGCGACTTAAAAAAAATTTAGTCACTAAATATGAACAATAGGCGACTAAAAATTATGTTAGTCGGCATTAGATCATGTTTAGGCTACTAAAATATTTGTTAGTCGTGGTATACCAATTTTTGGCTAATAAAATAAATTTAGTCGCCAAAAACCTAGCATAATTAAACTTTGGCGACCAAAGTTTTGGTCGGCAAATATTCATTTTCGGTGACGAAAAATTTTTTAGTCGCTGTAAGGTAATTTTTGCCTACTAAAATTATTTAGTCACTAAATAAAAAACATAAATTTTACTTTTATCTTTGGTGACGAAAAATTTAGTCGGTGAATATTTCTTTTCGGTGACCAAAATACTTTTAGTAGCCAAAATGGTTACTTTTGGCGACTAAAATATTAGTCGCTGTTTGTTAAATGTTGGCTACTAATTAAATTAGTTGGTATAATTAACCTTTGGCGACAAACAAGAAGTTTGGTTGGCAAAGGTATATAAAATTTTAGTGGGAACATTAAAAGAATGGCACCAGTTCTTCTTAGCATTTTTGAAAACAGGGTTCTCTTTTCTCACTCTCTCACACACACACACAACCAGCACTACAGGAAATTACATTTTTCGCAACGCAACAAAATATGTTGCTAAAAAGGAAAATTCGTCAACAAAGAGTTTTGTCGACACACCAAGCTACGTTGGCAACCCGTAGGCAAAAATGAGTCGACAAAAATTTTTACCGACGAAATTATCATTGCGTTAGTAAAAGTAATGCCTTTAGCGACGAACATAGTCGTCGATAAAAGCCTTCATCCATCGTCGGCAATTTACCTTGCATCGGTAAAAGTCATTCAAATATGATGATTGTGTGACACTTTTCGCGACACAAATTTGCATGGGCAAAAAATATCCCAAAAAATACACTTTTAGCAACATAATATGAGTGGATAAAAATAAACTTTTGACAACACATTTACGTCTGTAAATATTGCCATTTGCCGACGATTTGTTTGTCGATAAAGGTTTACTTTTGGCAACGACAAATTCGCATTGGCAAAAACTACACTTCTAGCAACACAATATGAGTGAGCAAAAATAAACTTTTGACAACACATTTACTAACAAAAATAATTGAAAATAATTTATATACTTTTATAATATTTATAGATTT